CCCCCCCCCCCCCCCCCCCCCCCCCCTCTCGCCGGCCTTCTCAAACTTGATAATTCACACCAATCCCACACGCCTAAAATAAAATGCTCTCTGGCGTGGAAAACAAAAAAAGGTGCGAACGCTGGCGCTGACCACCATGATCGACGTCTCGGCCCCGCGTGCCGCTCGGGCGTCGGCCTCGAGAGTGGTTGCCCTCATGGCAACCGCCGGCGGCGAGTGGCCGTCGGGATGGGGCGGGCTGATACCTTCGCTTATCGGGCAGCTGGCGATGGCGGCGGCGGCGGTTGAGAACGCGAGGGCAGAGGCGGGGTCGGCGGAGGCACCGCGGGGTGGGGTAGGGGGCATGGGGAGGGAGGGGAGAAGAGCGGAGGCGGCGGCGGTGGCGGCGGAGCACGCCGTGGCTAGGGCGGAGTCGTGCGCCAAGTGTCTGCAGTACTTGACGGAAGAGGTAAGCGAGCTAGCCCCGAGTCTGCACCTTGTGGCACAGATGAGGAATTGACGAATTGATTGTTTTTTCCCACACTTGTGAGAATCGCCTCCTATTCAGCTATTCAGGAGACTGGGGACGATAGGACCTGAGCGTTCGTGCTCCAGGGGTCCCCGCGGACGGCGATCACATGGTGAAAGCGCCCGACGGTTTTGACGTCACTTGGCCACAAACACAAAGCAAGTATGATGGAAGGCACAAGATAACAATGGTGACGACAACTGATGCGTCGTTGTTGCCGTACGTGCATGCCACCGCAGGTGCCGATGGAGCATGTTCCCGAGGTATTCCAGCAGGCCTTTCCGGGTCTTGTTGAGGTGAGGGAGAGAGAGAGAGAGGAGGAGGCGCCTTGCTTCTTCTGCCGCACAGGCAAAAGGCTGGTGGTCGTGTAGAGCAAGGCTTGTTCGCCGCGTGCCGCTGCTGCAGTAGTCCTTACCGGCGGCATTGCTACCACGCTGCTGCTGTTGCGGCTGCTGCTGCTAGGATGATGTTTGTTACTGCTAGATTTTTTTCTGTTTGCTTGTGCCCCGCCTGTTGTATAAGCTGGGTCTCGATCTGCCTTGTAGTAGCGGGCGCAATCCTCGCCTCCGCCTTCGGCACCCTCTTTATTCTGCCACCACCGTCACAGACCTCTTGAACCACAGCTCTTTGTTCTGCCTCCACCCACCCTCTTGCTGCTCTTGACTACTTGTGCCGCCAATCCCCGCCCATTCCGGAACGACATCATGCCGCCGCCGTCGCCGCCGCTGCTGCTGCTGCTGCAGGCTGGCAAGGCGGACTACCTCCCGCGTAGCATCCGAAGACGAGTGTTTCGGATCGTGCGAGAGCTCTTCACCTCCATCGGAACCCTCGTCAGCGTCCGGGGAGAGACTCGGCTCCTCCCAGGTCTTCAGGTACCAAAGCTTTGGCCCTAGGGCTACGCAAGACACCACACCCCCTTGGACCGATTTTTAAAGATGGATTTTCTCCACAGTACAGACGATGGCGGTGCCAGAAACGTCGGCGTCGAATCCGTCTCGTCGAGAGCGTTCGGAAAACGGCGGCGTTTTCTTTTTTTTTTTTCATCCCCTTCGCTGTGGAGTATTCGAACGCTGAACATGGGTCCAACGGGGTATCGCGGGTAACGTACAACGGTAGGCGCGTGATCTTGCACTCTTTCGAGTTAGGCTTGGGGATTTGTGTCAGCACCTAGTTCACCACGCCTGCTGCGCGATTAGTCGTTTCTCCGCTTCCTACCAGTGCGTTGTGCTTAACGGTAGCTCCCTTGCCTTCCCTCTCTTGATTTTTTTTTCCCTCCTGTCTTTCGTTCCTTCCGCCGCGGGTGTTTGGTCTCTCCTCCCACTCCGACAGCAATGCGTGCCCCCCTGGCTTCACCTCGTGTCGAAGACTCTGCAGTCGGCTGTGGACGGCAGGGCCATCGATGGGGGCCGCCACAAGAACGGCGGCAACGAGGAGGAAGGGGGGGGCGATGATGACTTCGGCGTCGAGCTTGAGGGCCTCCGGACGGCCATGGTGCTCTTGGCGCACGTCCCCTCGTGAGTTGTCGGATGTTTCTCAATCGCTGCTCTTGTATTTCCGCAGCTGCTCTTGCTGTCGCCAATTCTTGTTGTGTAGCGCGGTCTGTGTTTTTCAGCTGTCCCGTGTTTGACGTGGTGCAAGTGCCTCCTTGCCCTCCGACAAGCAGGTTAATAATGCGCATTCCCGCCCGCCGCTTACTCCCGGTCTTGGCCCCTCTCCGCGCTGGCCCTCCCCTAATGAAACCGTGGGCCTTTCGACCCCTGCTTTTCAGTCCGAGGTTTGCGCGCGGCACATTTTTTGAGCTCCCACCGAATGTGGGGACAGTGCTCCGTCCTCACGCTTGCTTGGTAACCCCGACGGCATCCAGAACATGAGCACCCACCATCGGATGCCCGTTTGTTTTTCTTTCTTTCCCAGGACCGTCGGGGACGGGCACTTGGGCCAGCTCCTGCCTCCTCTGTGGCAACTCCTGACAGATGGCCGGGAGCGGCACGAGCGGAGCATGCTGGCTGGCGGTGGTGACGGTGAGGATGGGGATGAAGATGGTGATGGTGGCGACAACGGAGGAGGAGGAGGTATGTGTTGGGTGCTGGTTCTTGCGTGATGTGTGATGTGGACCACGGAGTCCCGGTCGAGGTTCCGGTTTTCGGTGTCATGGCTCTTGCTCCTGCTGCGGCGTTTCGATGTTCTCGTTTGTGCTTTCAGTAGCTGCGGTTGTTGTTGCCGAAATGCAGGCCCTGCTTCCGTTCTTGTCCCACACGCGCTCCTTTGTTGCTGCTGCGGAGCCCTGTTTCCGCTGGTGCCTTCCGTGCCCACCGATCGGAGGCGCTGACGTGCATGCATACTGCTGTCGGTGCGGGTCCGTCCACCACTCGTACGCCAGTCCCGTTGCCGTTGTACTGGATGCTTGCTGCTGACGACGTTTGTTTTGGGCTTGCATGACGCCGGCAGCGTATGTTTGTCGCTTGATCGTGGCGGCCGCAGTCGACGTTGCCCCTTCGCTTGCATTCGATCTCGGTTGCTTTCGCATCCAGAGCGTCGAGGTAGGTTTCCCCCGAACCTCTGGATTGCTGTTTCTTCGTTCACATCACATCGTCGACTCTTCGCACGTCGCGTGCTTTCATCTTTGTCGGCATGATCTCGCTGTTGTTCCCACGGGTTTCCTGAGCCGGTTGTTTGGGGCGTTATCCCTACACACTGCGTAGAACGAGTGTGGGTTCCCTTCTTTTTCCTAGGAACATTTTTGTTCTTGCTCGCCGTCAAGCGTAAGGCACAGGAGGTTGTTGACATACACCGGGGTTATGTTCCATGTTAAGCTCCAAGAATTGATACCATCGTGGCCTTAACCATTCGGAACAACGTGTGGTAATCATGTTTGATAGGTGCCGATCGCTGGTCCACCAACCGTTCGTCTTCCAACCTACGGTATGATTGATCTGTTGTTCCTGTCGGTTTCAATTTTACTTTTTTGTCGTTTTTTTGATATTCACAGGATACGCTTCTGATGGGGAACGGCAGGGGCTCGACGAGCTAATCGTGCAATCGTTGGAGCTACTCGCAGCTACCGCGGGTACGCGCAATGTGCCTTTTCTTTTTTTTTCGTGTCTTCTAGCATCGACCACCGTGAGTGAGTGTTTTGTCTTTCTTGAAGAAGCATTGATCGCGCTGACCGGTTGGCCAACGAAAAGACGTCGGTCTTTTTGTTGCGGGATAGCAAATGCGGACACGCTTTCTTGGCTCCCTCGGGTGTGTGTGTGTGTGTTTCTGTGTTAGCTTGTTCACTCGTCGTCGATCAGTAGATCAGCGTGGTCGATGAAATCACAACACGCGCGCGCGCACACATTGACACCCAGTCGGCGCCCACGCGTGACTCGAAAAGTTGATGCGTATTTTGCACAGCGTCACGTGGTTTTCGGGGTAGAACTGCCGCTTGGAGAATGACCATGCTGGTCGTCGACCGGTGCCTGGGGGCTGTTTGCCTGCTGCTTGAGTTTCGCTCCTCGCCGCACAGACCGCTATCTTGTCCCCCTCCCACGGGAACGGTTTGGCCGTCGGTGTTCGCACTAGTCGGAGCAATTTGCAATGCTCCGTCCTCTCGATGACGCGTGACCAATGTAAAACACGAGTAAACCCCCCCCACCTCCAATTTCTGTTCTTCTCGTTTTCAGCTTGTCCGGACCCCCAAGTGTCGGGCTTGCTCGGAGGGGAGGGTGCAGGAGTGGGATCGCTGTTAGCAGTCGTCATCAGGTGCGCCGTACGGTAGTATAGGGGAGGCTTCATCTACCGAAGAAACCCTCCTTAGGATCGTCACAATACACGCATACGTAGCGAGGCGGGCGATTGGTTGCGAGTTCTTCGGGGGGTAGGCAGAGAGAGCCTCCCCGTCCCTTCCATCTAGCCCAGCGCTGATCCCGCTCGAAACGGCGGTGTCGAACGCCGAACTGCCTTACCACCCCCCCTCCCCCCCCCATCCCTTCTCCTGGCGCCGCCTTACGGCACGGCTACGCCCGGGAATTCCACGGCCATAAGTGGCCGGTCGACCGCGTTGTGTTTCGCGTGGAATAGCCGGGGCGTGGCCCCTCAATGAATGCATGGAGGCAACCGCCTCAAGTACCTCTGCCGGCGCAGCCTCCCCCGTAGTGTATTTGGTGGTGATTGTTGCAGGTGGAGGATTACATGCATATACCAATGTGCAAACCACCGCCGTAAAGTGCAGCCTCCGTACAACACGGTTCGAAAGAGCAGAAGAAGACCACCGGCCACAACAGCAGTCCCCGTCACCACCGTCACCACCGACAGCTCAACAGCTCAACTCTACCGCCCAACAACTAACTCCCTCCGTTCATGTGTGCAAACCCCCCCCCCCCCCCCCCCCCCCCCCCCCCC